TGGCTCTCATGCTCCCGCTCACAAGTGCCTTCCAGCAGAACGCCAGAGCGCTGAGCTTTGAGGCACCGGCTCGCCGATCCTTCCTGAGCGGGACGATCACCAGACAACATTAATCAAAGCAGCCTGATTGCGTCCGATATCTTGACGTGGCTGCGTAAAGGGGCATGTCTTGCTTTGGTGCGGCGAAGCTGTCCTGGCTCGCCGATTGGCCCACCAAATATTGTTTTAAGAGCCTTTCGTGCTCTTCTCGAAACGTTCTTAGAGCATTTCTGGCTGAGACTGTCTTGCTTTAACCCATCGGGCTTCTGTTCCAAGAACAATGCTGTTTTATGAGAACAGTTCTGGGTGATAAGAACATTCCGTGGTAGGACTATAGGACTGTCAGGACGGTCGGCCCCTGCTCAAGTCATCATTGAATGCACCGCTCTGGGCCTCCCGCCGAGAGCCTCCCGTGGGCATGACATTTGAATGCATTCGTCAGGCTCTCTCCGCTCATGCCCGCCGCCCAGGACGGCGACTTTTGAGATTGCCACACCGGTTACTGTCCCGGCCGCAGGGCCGATAGCCAGATCATGGCGGGGGTGGTTGTGGATGGTTCGGGTGGGATTGGCGCTGCCACGCAACGAACCGCTTGGTGTCACGCCGGGTGCCTCACAGAGGCTTCCCCTCGCAGGCGATGTTTCTCCCCCGATGCCCGAGCTCCACCCGAAAAGCTTGGCCGTTCAGAAACAGGGGGCAACCCTGAGATACACCGCAAGAGGGGTCTATTCGGACGCACCCCTATCGAGGAAGGACGCCCCGACATCGTATATCCCAGGGTTGGGCCCAAAGCTGTTGGTCCATTCGGAGCCCCCACGCAGCCTGGGATGGGAGTCGACGTATACCCCGTCATCGCGGAATCCCTCAGGGCTTGACGACTTTTCGCCAATCGACTTGTGAGAATCGAGCCAGAGAAGTCCAGGTAGATGCAGACAAGTCGAGGTACATTCAGGCACATGTGGGTAATTCAGCCCGGGCAAATCCAGATGTCTCGAGGGACAGCCGGAGCAAACCGCGACCGCTCCAGCGCGAGCCGAGAGACGTCAGAAGTCGTCAAGCCCTCAACGACGGAGGCCCCCCTCTCGTGTGGTTCTCGGGCCCCCCGCCCCGCCTCGCCTCGGCCCCCTCGGGGCTCCTCGCGCGCGGCGGTCGCTCTTCGGTCGGGCCTCTTTGTGCTCCGGTGCACTGCTCGATCCTGGCGAGGCCCTTCCTCCAGGCAGCCCTTTCGCGCCGGCCCTTCTCCGGATGGATCGGCGCGCCTCTGGCGAATCTCGCCTCCTCCTCCTCCTTCCTCCTCCTCCTCCTTCCCCGCCTCCTCCTCCTCCTCCTCCTCCTCCTCCCTCCTCCCCCTCCTCCTCCCCCTCCTCCTCCTCCTCCTTCTCCTCCTCCTCCTCCTCCTCCTCCTCCTCCTCCTCCTTCTGAACCTCACCCTCCCTCCCCCCCTCGCTACCCATCCGCTCTCTTCATCCCCTCTCCCAGCTCCCCCTTCCCTCGTCCTGATCCCTCCTCTTCCCCTCGGGCTCATCCCCGCACTCCGCGTGTTGCCTGCCCACCCCCCGCCGTCCCCCCGCCCCCTCCTGCTGCCCCAGGCCCCCGACGTCGCGATTTCGTCACAGCGTCGACCTCCAGAGGTCTGGACCCCTTCCCTGGGACCGGTTTTTCATCTTCAGTCGTTTTCTGACGGTCCCGAGGCCCTGTAAGGGCCCCGGGAACAGCGAAAAAAACATTGCGTTAAGTCGGGCCTGTCCCTCTACAGGAAGGAGATTCAAAAATAGACAAAATACTCTGGGGATTATTTAATCGCTTCGCTCATTCCGCCGGCCCTGGAGCGCTATTTGGGGCCTCTTGGGCCTTGGGGCCGTCTTGGGGGCCTCTTGGGGGCTTCTTGGGAGCGTCTTGGGGCTCCTTGGCGGCGTCTTGGGCTCCCCTGGGGCCTCTTGGGGGGCTCTTGGGGGCCCCTTGGGGCGGGAGGGGGGGGTAGTCGATTGCAGCCACCCCCTCGGAGGCCACGATCCTCGTGAGGGGTGGCGAAAAATAGCCTCCCCCTGGGGATCGCCCGGGACCCGGCCTAGGGTCAGCCGGGATACTTCTCGTCCGGGGCCCCCCCCCCAGGGGCCGCCCCGCGCGCGCGAACTAGAAATATTGTGAAGTACACTTACCCGAGATCTCAGCACGCCTCTGGCCGTATTTTTTGAGTACTTTATATTTTGTTCGCCCAAGATCCGCCTGTAGGGGACGCGCCCGACCTAAACCTTGCGTCGTGACTCTTTCGCACACGCGAGGGGGTCTGTAGGACTCCTGCCACTCGTGGGCGCGCTTCTGCCTGGCGGCCGCCCGCGCTGTGCCGACCCCTGAGGCCACGGAGTCCTCAGTCCACTGCCCCACGCCTCCCCTCCTCCTCCTCCTCCTCCTCCTCCTCCTCCTCCTCCTCCTCCTCCTCCTCCTCCTCCTCCTCCCCCCACTCCTCCTCCTCCCTCCACCCCTCCTCCTCCCTCCACATCCTCCTCCTCATTCTCCTCCTCTGCCGCCTCTTCCGCCTCCTCCTCCTCCGCCTCCTCCTCCTCCCTCCTCCTCCTCCTCCACATCGCCCTTTCGCCCCCAAGTCCTTTCCATATTTATCCTCCTTGACTCCCTCGACGTCTTCGCGTCGTGCGAAGATCACAGCGGGCGTTCCTGTCGCCAGTGTCGGTCTTCGGGGGGCCCTCGCCGGGACCCAGGGCCGTCAAAGAGCGGCGCAGGACGAGAGAAGCCGGTGCCCAGGCAGGGGTCCAGACCTCCTGGGAGCAACGCGGAGGAGGACGAGGTGGAGGAGGAGGAGGAGGAGGAGGAGGAAGAGGAGGGGGAGGAGGAGGAGGACGAGGTGGAGGAGGAGGAGGAGGAAAAAGAGGAGGAGGAAGAGGAGGAGGAGGAGGAGGAGGAGGAGGAGGAGGAGGAGGAGGAGGAGGAGGAGGAGCGGCGGATGTCTTGGCCCAGCGAGCGCCCAGCACCCCGCACCGGGTGGAGAGCAGCCGCCTGGCAAGCCCCCGCGTGGCGCGCCGCGTCGGGCCACGCGCACGCGCAGTCGCGCATGGCAGCCCTGCTGCTGCGGCTGCCTGCCGTCGGCGCCCCGTGCCCCGTGCCCCGTGCCCCGTGCTGCTGCTGCTGCTGCTGCTGCTGCTGCTGCCATTAGTTCGGGCGTGTCCCTCTACAGGGCGAATAGGCAAAAATAGCAAACAAATCTTCGGGGGACTATTTTTAAGTATTGTTGAACATCTGTGAGGCATGTTCTTTGTATTTTTAATTTTTCGTCCAAAATCCGCCTGGGGGGGGGACACGCCCGACCTAATGCTGCTGCTGCTGCTGCACGCCGCTTCAGCCAACAGCGCGCTCGCCAGCGGAAGCATGGGCGGCGCGCCTCCTTCCTCCCCCGACCTTTCGGGGGAGCGAACAAATAATGCCAGCTTGTGATTCACACATGACCAGACCCCCCCTACCCGGGGTTGATGAAAAGACCCCGCGGGGCGCGACATTTTCCAATCACGCGCGCCAGGGGGTCGTCGCTGCCGCCGCCGAGGGGATCGTGCACCCCCCCTGCATGACAGCCTCCAAAACGAGTGCTTTTCGTATGGAAGTTGTTATAGGGGTCGTACACATCCGAGGCGAATTTCTCTTCCCCTTCTTAGGCGTCGTCGTCGTCGTCGGCGCAGCCGTCGTCGTCGTCGTCGACGTCGTCGTCTTCTTCGTCGTCCTTGTCGTCGTCGTCGTCATCCTCTCGTCGCCGTCGTCGTCGCCGCTGTCGTTGTCGTCGTTGTCGTCGTCGTTATCGTCTTCGTCGTCGTCGTCGCGTCGTCGTCGTCGTCGCCGTCGCCGTCGCCGTCACCGTCGTCGACGACGTCGAGCACAGCGGGCCTGCGCAGCCCCCCACCCCATCGGGCATCCGCAGTGCTTCGTCGTCGTCGTCGCCGCCGCCGTCGTCGCCGTCGTCGTCGTCGTCGTCGTCGTCGTCGTCGTCGTCGTCGTCGTCGTAATGTCATCGTCTTCGTCGTCGTCGTCGTCGTGTCGCCGTCGTCGTCGTCGACGACGACGACGACAGCGGGCCTGCGCAAACCGCCTACCCCCATAGTGCATCCGCAGTGCGTTGTC